TATATATAATGTGTGTGCACATTAAAGAAACCATGTCTCTGTGGCATGCAAACAAAAAACATCCCCACCCTTTTCATTGCATAGCAGGCACCCTTCACTGCTATGATGAAAATGCTCAAAATGTTGAGTTGTAGGTGCATCAAGTGTGCAAATGGACATAACTAAAGCTTGCAAGGTAAAACTGGTTTGCACAGTAGCAGGTAGAAATCTGGCCCTGCCCATGTGAAAGTGTATTTTGTTGTTGATTTCTAGCCAGTTGAAGCTGAGCTGTATAGTGATATGTTATGTATAGCTTTATTAAAACTAAGCTCCAGCCTTACCTTAAGTCTTGTACATTTGTACATTTTCTCCTCTGCTCTGATAAAATTACTAACTCTGGTTTGACTGCATACTGTGAGCATCTCACAATGTATTAGAAGCTTCAGCAAGCCAGATAGAGCTCACCTCATTTCTGGGCTGAAGGAAACCCAGCATTATCTAGCTCTTTTCATCCCCAGCCTTACAGTCCCTGGCCCGCCCCTTTATTTTATTAGATTTCATTTTTTTAAATAATGGAGACCTGGCATCACATGTGGGTATCACCTAGGCCAGTCTGCTTGCAAATGCATCTTGCCAAGGAACAATCAGTCCTTCAGACTGATGCCCACCCATCAAGGCATTTTTTTTATTTAATTTTTTACTTTGAATTCTAACCTTCATTCCCCTCCTTCAGAATCCAGTCTCCACAAACACTCATCATTAAATAAATATGTGCACATTGCATGTCTAGTCTTTCATAACAGTATCCTCAGCCTGGAAATGCTGCGCCGGCTTGATCAGAGATAGTATGTTGTGGACACTCAAGGGGCCAGACAGATGGCCAGACAATAGTCTGCAGGCCATATAGCTGGCCCAAGGATCCTCTGGCTGTGGTCTCCATGGTGTTGATATTATTTATTAAGAGACATTGATTGCAATCCTTTGGCTGCTGCTCCCGTTCCATCTTTTAATTTCTTGTCTTCCTCCTTTTTTGCTGCTTCTTCCCTCTGTTTCCGAATGATTGCTAGGTGGGCCAGGTCAGCCTTTGCTTGGTCTGTTTTTCCTGCTAAATGCATTTTCATATAACGTACTTTTGCCGTCTGATTCTCTATTTCCTCACTTTCTCTTCATGACAGTTCCTTTGGACCTTCCAGATCAAGCTGGTCAACCTTTTTAGATGCCTGTGCTGCTCGATTGGGATTCTCTGTCAATCAGGCCTTCGCCTTCGACTCCTTTACGCTTTGCCTGGTAGTCGTCATCTTCATCACTCTCATCTGAACTCTGATCTTTCTTCTCCTTGGTGGGGGTCTTTGGAGACTCCCTCACCACCTTCCTCAAGTTCTGCTTCCTGAGCCTTTTTATGTTCAGCTTTAATCTGAGCAACTATCTCCTCTGGACTTGTATACTTCCTCCCCCAACCATTGTGACCGCCTTTTCTTCCTCACTTCGGCATGATAAGACTATCAAGGCATTTTTACATTTGCGTAACTCCTCCAAAGAGCCAGCCCACTACTTATATCAGGACTAGGACAGGGTGGTTTGATGTTTTCAGGAAGCTATGTAAAGCCCCTCCCACAAGCCAGAATTTGCCTGTATTGCACAGAGAAGCACCGAGACCCATTGATGATGTCACAGGGCCCAAATAAGGCATATAATCAAAATGGAAAGGTTTTATTTTAAAATGTCATTAGCACGAAGAAGAGGAACCAGTGAAGGCAAAATATAACCAGATTGAACTTCAGCATTAATATATAATATTATTACATGATCGAAGATGTACATTTGAAATTAAAGTGAAAAGTGATTATTGTTGACCTAAAGATGACATACTTATCTTTTTGCAGTCGTTTAGCTTGTCAAGAAAGAAGATTGTTCACTACACAAGCTATGATCAGCGGAAAAGAGCCAACGCAGCATTCCTGATTGGAGCATATGCGGTGAGTGCAAATAATAAGATGGTAATACATGTTTGTTAGTGTCAGTGCCTGTATTGATGGCCACTGTGTCTTGCCCTGGGTACTTTGTGTAGAGGGATAAGTTCCTGACCTGCTGCAGTTACTTTTCTGATCCATTCCTCCTATTGTCTGTCAGGTTCTTTTTTCTGCCTTGTTAATATTTTACAGCAGGACAGAAATAAATAGAACGGATCTCATATGTCAGGGTCCACCTTAGCCTTTGTGAATTTCACATGCACATCTCTCTGTGTGCAGACGGCCGTATAATCCAAAACAACACAAACATTGGATATTTATAACCACATTATGTACTGCCTGGTTGGCATTAAAGGGCGCCTGTTATCGTTACAGTCTCTGACAGAGCTCACAGCATTTTATTTATATCTGGATTTAAAGCTAAACTCCAGGCAGATGTTACAATGTACCATTTAATGCAGTTGTGTATTAATTAAAGTATAATAAAAGAAAACAGAATACATATTTGAAATACATATATGTTTTCTGTTATACTTACTAAAGCCGTGGCCCGTGATGCCCAACCGATGGCCCTTTGGTATTTGCTGTGCATCCCATTGCAGACTCTGATGGTCAGTAGTGGAAGCATTCATCTGTAATGAGGCATGGCTCCATTCTCTGACTAACTCCTGCAGTGTGTCTTCAGGGCCCATTCATACACTATCCAGTGCATCCCACGTTCTGGGGCGGGAGGGGGAATAGTGGTGCCATTCATGCATGCACAATTGTTTGCGATCCCACTGCACTGGAACACAGGGCATTGCTGTACCACGCGTTCTGGTGCAGGTATTTGCACTGCAGGTGGGAGGTGTGTCTGAGGTGCCATTGACGTGAATGGAGACTTGGCGTTTGCGATCCAGTGTGTTTAGGGCATGGAAGCATGCTGGAACGCACTGGATATCGTGTAAATGGCCCTCAGTCCTCATCCACCACTGTAGCATGTCTACAGACTCAAATTCTCTCCTCTAGTATGTCTGAAGTCTCTGATAGTCTTCTGTCATATACTGTACATTATGTGCCGGCCTTTGGAGCTGTCAGGGGCCACAGTTGAGACCATTTACACATTGTAAGTTGCCAACCACTGTGCTAAAGGATAAAACATCCTGTTTAACCTTGTCAGTGCAAAGTGAGGCAAGTGGTAGGCTTGTTTTCTAGTTTAGTAAAGTAGCTTCTTATGTAATCTGTTCACCTTCAACCTAATTATTGGACAGTGAATCAGCATCACCATCACTGTCCAATCAGCAGGGAGGTAACCCATGAAGGGGACAAGCTGAAAATCTGAACCAGGAAGTAAGAGAGTGATCTTCCTGCCTTTGCAGTGTGCAATAAGTGTGTGGGTCACGTCTGGCTGAGCAAATTACAAATCCTTTGGCACTTAAAACATATATGTATTTTAAAAGTCTATTGAAGCTGCACTCTAGAAATTAAAAAGAAACCTATGCTTACAGTCCACAGTCCCTCCTCCTTCCCCCCTTCCTGCACTGCAAAGGTTAAATGCCCCTTTTTGCCTAGGGGTAGAGGAATAAGGTGTAATGCTTGCTGTGACTTACACCCCGCCTTGGCTGACTGTGGCGCTCTCCTCTTCTCCTTGACGCTCCAGGATGTGGGCAGTCCTTTGTGTTTATATGTACAAGGCAGGGCTGCTGACCTGCATTGTACTTGATATCGGGGCTCAACCTTCTGGCCAGTAGCAGAGCCTTAAGGCCAGTATACTTGTTATATCTTTTTCGTTCAATCTGCGGGCTGAGCAAAGAAAATATAACAGATTTCTCCATCAACGCTTGCAAGTGTTACTGGACGAATTCCCTGATGATCGCATGTATTCTGACAGCGGCCACCAGCCACTGTCAGAATACCAGAACAGAGCTAGAAGCTGATTGACAGCGGCTTGTTCTGCTGAGAATTTTCCAACCGGCTCCTTTGATCAGCTGATCGATCAGCTGATCGAGGGATGCCAGATGGAAAGGTGCTGACAGCGGCACCCACTGTCCGAATTTCAGCCGATTTATCAGAATCTGGCAAGGAACTGACATTTATACCCGGCTTTAGAGAAGAGACCCGGTTGCACAGATTGAGAGAGCCTGCCGGAGCAGGGAATAAGCTAAAGCTGGCGATACACCTTTAGTATGTGAAGAGTTAGTGGGAATAACCAAGACTATGAAAGGGAGATTTTATGGCTGGAGTCCCGAGGAGAGATCTAAGAAGCCAGTGGGTGACTTCCCCTATAACTTAAATATCTGGTTTGGGTGGACTGATCCTTTAATTGTAGTGTAGCCCGCAGAGCAGTCCAGGACCTGTCTCTGCTGTCTTGCAGCGGTGCAAGGATCACAGTTATTTAGCTGTTAGTGTATTTATCTGCTTGCACAGAGTTCAGCTTTAAATGAATGTAATATTTTAACTTATTTCTTACATGCTGCATATGGTTGCTGTCACCATTGCAGCCCTAGGCAGTGGCTTATAAATTCCTTATGGTAACCTGACCAAACATAGAATAGCAGAATGCTCAGTATTATCAGAAAAATAATTTACTGATCTCTAAACACCACTGGCTGAAGCAGAATCAGTCAGTTGATACATTTTTCAAGCTTTACTATTATAAGGACAATTTACCATATGTACAGTATGGGGAAGAATATTTTTCATGGTTGGTGGCAAAGACTATCTAGAATGTTGGATACGTCTGTGAGTGTTTGCTTCGAAAACCCCATTTGTTGTCAGAAGGTGGCTTCTTCTCTACATTACTAGCAATGCTCATATCAAATGCATTACTTGGGACTCAGCTGGTATATGGCCAGCATTGTTAATCAGTGTAAAGCACAAGCAGGCAAGTATCTATTTATTTGACATATGAGCCAGAAGAATGACAAGGCCTACAGGACTTTGTGATGCTATGTAAACATGAAACTGCTTCTGTCATTGCACTTTTCCTGAGAAGGTCAGACATGAGAGCTGACTGTACTAACACACAGGAAACTTTAAACGGTAAACGTTTTTAGTAAAGACAAATTCCTCCTGTTTCACACCTGCAGCATATCACAATCAACTTTATTAATCAAAGTAGAATGGACATTCACACACTGTAATATTTTACTATAATGCTCATTTTATTACACTTTTCTGTATACATTGTGCATTTGGAAACCCACATTAATGTTGTATAATGCAGAATGTATTGATAATAGAAAAATAAGACATCATAAGGCAAATACCAGTCATTACATATCAGGTAAAGATGAATGGCAAGGCAATCATTTTGGTTGGCCAAGCACAACTATCTGCAGACATTTTGTATCTTACTCAAACCACTTCTTTAGTTCTGATGAGTGTCAGGAAAATACCCCAGTATTTATAGCCACAAAGATAGTGCAGACAATGTAATCCAATCACTGTAGAAAAGGCAGATGTTGACTGTCAAAGTGCAGGATTGGAGTTGTGAAAGGTGTGGAACCACCCTGTTCTAGTTCAATTATCCCATCCTTGGAAAATTCTGTATAGGTGTTAAACCTTCGATTTACATGGCTGAAGATGTGTGATGTTGTCAAAACAGCTGAGTAGAGATATTAAAACGACATTCTAAGTGGGAGACAGATATCTTTACCCTGGGGTTTTGACAGTTCACACCTTCAGCCATGTAAATGAAAGGTTTAACACCTATACAGACTACCGAGGATGGGATAATGTAACTAGAACAGGGTGGTTCCACACCTTTCATAACTCCCATCCTGCACTTAGGCAATCAACATCTGCCTTTCCATGGCGACTGGACCAAGGTGTCTGCACTATGTCTATGGATATAAATGCTAGGGGTATTTTCCTGACACTCATCAGAACTGAAGAAGTGGCTTGGAGAATCTACAAAATGTCTTCAAAATTGCAGGACAAGTTTAGTTGAATGTGACTAACTACTGCCAGCTATACCATGACCTGGATACATGAGAAACTTCACATACCTATCTACGGAGGATATAATATGCAGGCCAACTATGCATTCACACAGGGCCATCTTTAATATTGATTGGACCTTGGGCAAACATTTTCTTGGCCCTGCGCCCCCACCGCCATGCCCCGCCACACCATGCCTCCTACCCTTCCCACCTGCCATGCAATTTCTCCTGCAGAGTAAGGAGACATGACCCTGCCTGAGACGCCACGCTAGCATGCCGATCGAATAGTAAACAGAATGGTGTCTTATGTGTATCTTTTGCGGGCTCCAGGGGCAGCTGCATTGGGCCCCACAACAATGACTGGGTCCAGGGCAACTGCCCCTTTTGCCCCACGTTAAAGACGGCCCTGCATTCACAGCTAAAACATCTAAAGATCTATAAACCAAAAGAACCTTCATGTAAGTGCTCATGAAGGACAGAGAGGGAGCTCCGTAGGTAATGGCTGTCTCAGTGGAAACCATAGCAAATGGCTAGGAAAAATGCTTTCTCCATTGAGCAGGCTCAGTCATGTTTGTGAATTGGCCCACAGAAATAAGAAAGTTTCTTAATCCATCAGTAAACAGCCAGATCTGGCAAACAGCCTCTAATCTGATAGATAACTCGATTCTAAGACAGTGGATGAGATATTATTTGCTTGTTACTATGACATGCAACTCCTTACTGACAAATGCTTACTTTTCCATACATTTATATTTCGGAGGGAGGAATCTCTTACAGATGTCAGCAGGGAGATACATCTCTAAGCAATTAAAATCTCACCTGTAGCTCTAGTCTAAAAGCAAAAGTGAATTTAGGTCAATACCCATATGATGGTATTGCACAACCTGGCAATTTTCACTACAGGATTTGATTTATTTATTACGCTTAAAAAAGAGAAAACATAACAAAAAAGACACATGGACCCCACACAAAGATGCTGGAATGAAAAAAAGGTCTGGAATCTCTTGCTCTGGCATCTGATGTGGGATCCCTTGGAGCCATAACTAATTTTTTACATTAAATCTATTGGCTGCATTGAGACCTTGCCGTTTTAGTGAGGTTCGGCTTATTGACGTGTGTTATCTCACATGTCATGTGAAGGCAGCTCATTTATTCATCACTATTTTTCCTGGCGCAGCGCACCATAGTGCACAGTAGTGTATTACTATGCGTTGTGGTGTGGTGCAATGTGTTGAAGTGCCATTTGGAATGTTAGTCTCTAATTACCTACCTATTATTTTTATAGTACAGTTTTAAAAAAAAGGAAGAGTCTGGACAACACAGTTAGGCTTCTTCCTAGTAAATTGCACTTCTTTTTGATAGACAGCAAGGCCTTTTTAGATGTTTTTCCTTTAGAAATTAGCTCTTTTACATTTGTTATAGCTAGATGACTAATGTTTTTTCTTTTGTCTTGGATTTAGGTGATCTATTTAAAGAAGACACCAGAAGAGGCATTCAGATCTCTGCTTAGTGGGTCCAGCCCTCAGTACCTCCCGTTTAGGTGAAAAGACCTTATGACAGCGTCATTCCTTTCTTTTGCATTTTATACATCTTCATTGTTACTTTTGAACTTGGGTTCTAGTAAGTTGTACAGCAGATGGGACTAATACAGTATTACTCAATATTAGGCATCATTCACAAATCCTATTCGTGCCATCATGTGAGAAGTATACTATGCAGGGGCGTATTTACCGCGAGGCAAAGTAGGCGTTTGCCTAGGGCGGCACCTTCCTGGGGGGCGGCCGTAGTCAAACGCCTATGTTGTGAAGATGGGGGGGGTGCTAGTAAGGTGCCGAGGGCGGCCGAAGCTTGGCTTGCCTAGGGCAGCCAAATGCATAAATACACCACTGATACTATGGATACCTGTGGCCAGGATCCAATGTGTTTCAATACAACTTAATGACAGGCTGAAAGGAGTCGGGGTTATCTGTGGCTGCAGGCTTGTATCTGCACATCCAGTGGGTACATGCAGTTAGCGAAATATGTTCCTCTATGGATGCTATCTCTTTACGTTCAGGGTCGGACATCTGTCCCTAACCCTAGGTAACTGCTAGATGTGCAGATACATGCTTAGAGCCACAGACAGCCATGGGTCTTTAAAGGAGAACTATGGGGTTAGGAATTTCCCCATAGTTCTCCTAAGGGTAACGGGGGGGACACAAACTAGCGTCCTCCCGTCACCCAAAGCTCAGTATACCGCTAGCTACAGCTCGCGGTATACTGAGACGCCGCAGCTGAAACGGATCCCGACAATTGTCTGGATCCGCCCAGCTGTGTGAGTGACAGCTGGCTCTGCCTATCTAGAGGCAGAGCCAGCTGTACCCACCCCCTCCCCCGTCCATTCCGCCAGTCAGCGCTGGAGGATCGAAGCGGGGAGGGGGGAATCCAGTCCCTCCCCTGTCACGGCTCTCTGCAGTGACAGGATCGAGAAGTGAGCGATCGCCTGTATTGGTTCGCTCACTTCCCGATCTACTGAGCCGACCTGTGACAGTTTCATTGTCACAGGTCGGCTAGAACTACGAGGATGAGTGAAAATCACTCACCTCATAGTTCTCCTTTAAGCTTGCCAGTGAATTGTACAGGCTGAGCGGCTGCTGTTGCTTGGAGTGCCTGAGATCCCAACCGGAGGTACCTGCAGTATACTTGTCGCATCATGACATGATTAGTCCTTACATTCAGTGGACAGAAAGCAGATTTTTATTTTCAAAATAATTTCAATCACATAGTAAACTTGTCCTTTCTGCATGTTTTAGCCATGTGCCTTGTTTGGTAAATCTCCTCCAGTGTGTAAAACATTTTACACTTACTGAAAGCACCACTTATAATGGCTTTAGCATTATAACTCTACAGTATTTAGATCTATTTAGCTTCAATTTAACTACGTTTTATTTGTAATATTCAAATGTAGATCCTTGTAACAAGCCTAAGATCGGTGCACTATAAAATGATCATTTGATTCGTAAAATACTAATTAATGCCTGACAGAAATTCCTAACTATTGAGATTTTGGTTTCGGCAGGCAGATGCTACAGGTAATGCTTTCTTCCAGCTTTGTAAGCAGAATTTGTTCCACGTGTCTTATACCGCAGGGGGAACCATCCCAAGAATTAACTATTTTATGACCCCAAAGTCTGCTACATATTTACAACCCTCAGAATAGGAACAAAACTTAAACATACTGTTCTACTGCACAGGTTTTATATTACCATATAATATATAAATAACATATCATATAT